GCAGGGAGTCTGCTTCTCCCTCTGACCCTCCCCCCTCTCATGCTCTCTCTATCTCATTTTCTCTCTCAAATAAATAAATAAAATCTTTAAAAAAAATAATATTTGGTATATAATAACAGTTGAAGAAACTGAGATGTAAAGATGTTAAATAATTTTAGGAAGGTCGTATAGGTAATACATGATGAACCTGCGTTCTACACTGTGTACTCTTTGTGGCAACTTATTTTCAAAGTTTTTCAAAACAGTATTTTTTTTTTAAGATTTTATTTATTTGAGAGAGAGAACATGAGAGCGTACAAGTGGGGGGGGGGCAGAGGGAGAGCAGGGAACCCGATGTGGGACTCAGTCTCGGGACCCTGAGATCATGACCTGAGCCAAAGGTAGATGCAACCTACTGAGCCACCTAGGCATTCCACAAAACAGTATTCTTAGAGTTATGACTTATATGTATTATTTAAATTTCTGACTTTACCTAGCACTTTATAGTTAGTTTAAGACCACCCTCATCCTTTCTAACCCCCGATTATAAAATGGGTAGATATCAGATTTAGCCAGGCCTTTGGCTTCATAGAAAGATTTTATTTTCAGTTGTTACTTTGGAATTCTTTAATAATGACCGCCCATGGGGTGGGGTAGCAGGAAAGAAAGGAATGGGAATGGGATTGTTTAGAAGACTCACATAGAAATATACTTTGTCTTTAACTTTTTCTTATATAAATGGTCATGACTTCTGTTCTTTTTATTTACTCTAAGGGCCACTATTTTTTTTCCTACTTTCCACTTCATGATCATCTCACCTTGCAAGTTATTAGCCCCTTTCTCGATTTTCCCATTTTAACCTTATTCTCTCTTCCTTCTTCCCCTTGGCATAACCTTATATGTGTGCCATCAGTGGAAAGAGGAGAATTAAAAATTAGAAGATTACAGATGAAAGCAAGAATATTTATGTAAAATTTCTTTTTAGGTGTATCTGTAGTATTTATTTTCAACAGTGCCTATCTGCATTAATGTGTAAAATAAAGGAGGCCAAGAAGTGGGGTATGTTAGAATGTTTTCCTTCATTTCTTAGTCTCTGTACTCAGGGAACATATTGTCAGGTTTTGGTTTTTAATATCCATCATCTTATTTTTACAGCATGTTATGTGAAGCACTTTCTCATACAGGCTGTGTATCTTTTCAAGCCTTAACTGTAAGATCATGGATTCGTTGCGTTTTGCAAATGTACATAAACAACCTCTATGTGCCTGATGATTTGTTCATTGATATAAATCCTGGACAGGCAGTTGGTAAGTATGTCAGGCATTTTGCTTTCTAGATATCTAAGTATGTTTAAAATTTCCTGTTTTGTTACGTAAATTAATAGAAAAAGATACAAAATATATTTGTAATATTATATAAAATGTTTGTAATATGTATAAATAATAACATTTCTTTCTGCAGCCTGTTTCTTTTTCTTGATATTTTCCTGTTACCATGTATGACGAATTTCTCTCCGATAAAGATAAAAGAACTTGTTTCCTTGGAAGCCGGGAACAAAAACTTGCTCTCCAGTGACAAGCTATTTTTTTACCTTGAAGAAACTGATCACACAAAAAAAGTAGAACTATAAAGTAAATAACCAGATATCACACCGTTAACACCTTAAAAAGAAAAGTATCCAATTACGAATAATTCTCTCCCATTTTATATTAGATATTTTACCTCTGTTCTGCTCTACTATTATTAGTCACAAAGTGATACTTGTACTTTATTTATTTTTAAAATATCCATACAGTTTTGGTTGTCTATAGGGCATGCCTTTTCATAAAGCTGTTCTTTATGGCCATTTATAAATCACCCAAAGGCTGGCCCGAAAAAAATGCTCCAAATTTACTTTGATATCTTATTGCATCATTTAGCTTTACGTGAATAAACTTTTGGGGCTAGGACATTCATAAGTATATGTTTGTTTGGTTTTAAATAAAACCTTTCCTTAGAGACTTAATTGAAAGTTTTCAATTATGTGGAAATTTGAATTTTTTTAAAAAAAGGATGTTATAAATGAATGCTGCATTCCATACTCTCATCTATATATATGTGTAATATAAATGTATATAATAAACATAAATATTATTATGTTGTTTTTATCTCAACAGAAAAAGAGTACTTGGAACAGTTGGCTGAACTGACAAGGTTGCTATTTAAACTCTCAGAAGTAAAGAATATTTTCTCAAAGGCTCAAGTTGAATATTTATCCAGTCCAGAAGACCCTACAAAAGCACTTGTTCTATTTTTTGAGGTATTTTTCATTTATTAGTATAATTGTCCAAATCCATTATAATTATTTTTTCACAAAAACTTCAAGTGTTTATGAAGTTTTTCTATAAAATGAATTATTTTAAATTGAATCATTATTGTTTGCCTGCTATTATAAAATTCTGGAGGAATAAAAATGTGATTCTGTGATTTAGTACAATTCACTCTTAAGGACAGCCAGAAGAATTACATTTAATGAAAAATAATGACTGAAGAATGCTACGTAATAGGGGCACCTGGGTGGCTCAGTCCATGAAGTGTCCAGCTCGTGATTTCAGCTCAGGTCATGATCTCAGGGTGGTGAGATTGAGCTCACCAAGAGTCTGCTTGAGATTCTTTCTCTCCCTTTCCCCACCCCCCATGCTCATGCTCGCTTTCTCTCTCTAAGAAAATAAATAAATCTTAAAAAAAAAAAAAAAGAATGCTACATAATACCCTCACACTAAGGCTTCTGTCAGTTGTAGGAATATCTTATTGCTAAAACTGCTAGATAGCAATATTCTCCAGATACTTGGGAACTAGATTGCCTTGTCCATGGTCCCATAATAGTTCCAACTTCATGTTTACCACCCTGTAGCAAACAGTAAATTTTACAGTAAAATTTTATTGTATTTAGCATAAGCACCAACTGCTTCATATCATTTTGGTTGGGGCTTTAAAATCCAATCCATTTGTTTAGTTTTGTCTCCATAATAAATAGTCCCTTTCAACATTTGACTTTTAATTATTAATTTTGCAAGAATTTCTATTATGTGGTATTCTTTGCTTTACAGCCTTGTTGAAGTTGTTAACATGTTTGGATTAGTGTTTTTGTAAGCTATTCACAATAAAAGTTGGTTTATTTTCCCTCAAAGTGTTTGGTATTAACGTCAATGAAAAAAATACAACCTATAAGCTCTTTCCATAAATGTGAATTCTTCCATTGGTTTCCATTAAGTTAAAAGTACAATCGTATGACGATTAGTGATATCATATAAATCCTAAAAATATTTAGTAATTGTTTATGCAGCTATAAAACAGACATTGCTTTTATTTAGCCTTTTATTTAGTATTGACTGAATCTTAACCTGTACTTAAACACTTATGCTGGGAACCATACTGGACCAGAAAGGGAGGTAGAAGTCATTTATTTCACTAATAGTTTTCAGAAACTCTACTAATTTAAGCCAGTCTGAATTAATTGTTCTTTCACCACACAGTAAATAATAGTTGTTTGCTAAATGCTAGATAGTATTATGCTAGGATTTCTTAGGGATTTGAGAAACCAGAAAAAGTAGTCCTTGATTTCGAGAACTTTTTACTTGTCTGAGAATACAAGATAAACACAAAGGTTAAAATAATAAGACAGTGTATGCTAAGTGCCAGTTAGTTGTTAGATCATTCAGTAGGTTAATAATTCAGAGCATCTTGGTCTAAGAAGTTTGGATTTTCTCCTGTGAACAGTATGAAGGCTTTATAAATTTTTAAGTAGGTCTGATTTGATCAAATGACTTTTTAAGAAAATTAGTAACGGTAGATTAAAGGTGCAGAAGAACTGTTGGCCAGAAACTAGTTAGATTTAGAAGGAGTTGAAAATTGAATTATGGGATTTTTGAAAGGATCTGAGATAAACACTGTGTTTAACCAGAAGAATGATACCTTAAGGAGAAATAGGAGCATCATGATTTAGGGTGAGGGAGACGTAGGTGAGGAGTCCAATTTTAAACTGGTTTAGTTTGAGATTGTGTGAGGAGTCACCAAGATCATTCCCAAGTGCTGTGTGATTTGCTGGGAGGACTCAGAACTCAGCATATAATTTTACTCACAACTATCCCTTATTAGAGTGAAAGATCGAGAGCACAGCCAGCAAAGGAAAAAGGTACATGGGCTGAAGTCTGGAGACACCAGGTACGGCTTCCAATGGTCTTCTCCTAGAGCTGCGCTGGGCATGATTAGTTCTTCCTGAGAGGGATTGTGACAACACATGTGCAATGCTGTCTCCCGGGAAAACTCATTAGTGACTCAGTGCCTGAGGTTTTCAATGGGGACTGGTCACGTAGCTCTTTGAAAATTCCAGACCCCCAGAATGGAGGCAGATATTCAGCATAAACTGCATTGTTTCCCTAAATAGTTTAGGCTCAGTGAGCCATTCTTACCAGGAAATGGTGGGAAAAACCTGAGGCCTCATTCGCCAGCCAAGGGCCAGACTTACAAGTAGGCGTTTTTAAAGATAGCAAGTCTAGGCCTACTGTGTTAACTCTTTCCTGCACAGAAATGATAGTATGACATGTAAATAATGAGAATGGAGAAGTCCCTGAGATAGTCTGAGAAATACATGTCTTATAGTCTAAGGAAATGAAGGCTAAACACAGAAGAAATACTGAGCTCTAGAACAGTGTGTAGATCTCAAAAGTGTTTCATAGACCTCTGGGGGTTACTGATACCTTTCCAGGAATTTTACAAGCTCAAAAGTGTATTGACATTTGCACAAATAGTGCAAAAACTTTAACACAAATCAGTACCATGGCCCAAGATTATATTGGTGGTCATTATCATTTTCACTGCCATGCAATCACAGAAAAAAAAAAAAAAAAAAGAATCCAGTTTCATTTAAGAACATCCTTAATGAAGTAGTAAAATTATTAATTTTACTGAATTTTGACCCTTAAGTACAGTGTCCTTTAACGCCCTCTGAATGACAATGGGAAGTGTACTTAAAGCATGTCTGCTGCATATAAAGCAAGGTGGCTGTCTATAAATAAACAGCACTTGTGTGGTAATTTGAGTTACAAGCTGACCTGACTGCTTTTATCTTGAAAGAAAAACTAACAAAGTATGGTTATTCAGACTTCGGTATTTGGCAGACATTTTCTCAGAAATGTATGAAATGAGTATCACTTCAGAAAAAAAAAAAACAACAACAACTGACAGTGTTTGTTGCTAATGACATAATTTGAGCTTTTAAGAAAATTAGAATTTTGGAAAACTTGTATTTGCCATTATGAGCTTGAGAGCATCATGATACTTAAAGACTTTTCTGATGACACTGGTGCTAGTATTAACAAACAGAACTTTTTTTAATGAATAATGAAATGTGTCCACATTGGGAAGTTGTATAACTCAGTGAGCCAGAATTTTCCAGATAACCAAACGGGCTTTTTAAAACCATGCATGGGTATTACACAATCATTCAAAGAGCAAAATAGATCAGTGGCTTTTAAAGAGTAAAGAATATTCATTGACATGGGTTCTGAATTCCATAATACAATTAACCTTTAAGAAATACCACTTGTCAAGTTTTGGTGTAGTATCAGAGAGGAATTATCTAAAAAATCTACTAAAATATTTCTTTCTCTTCCATTTGCGTATGTGTGTGAGATTAAATTGTTTTCATCTGCAACATATTGCAACAGATTTTATGCAGAAACAGATATGGGAATCTAGCTGTCTTCTATTCAGCCAGACATTAAAAAGATTTGCAAAAATGTAAAAATTATCACTGTTTTTTTTTGTTTGTTTTGGAAAATAAAGCTGTTTTCTGTAAAAAGATTTTACTCTGTTAACATATAATGCTTATTATTTTTAAATGAACTAATAAATAATTTAAGTGTTCTCTTTTCATTTTATATGGTAAATATCAATAGATATAACCCAAATAATAATAAGCACCTTAAGATCCTCAGCTTTTACATGGATAAAAGGGAACTGAGAAGTTTGAGAACTTCCGGTCTAGGAAAAGAAATGTAGAGAACCAAGGGCAGAAAGCTAAATCGAAAAAAAGATTCATCAGATCTATCTTTTGTTGCTATTTTCATCATCCACCTCATAGTCACTCCAGGTCATAGATTCCTTATCTTTTCCTCCATTCTACATTTTATTATCGACATGACTAACTTTAATATCACCTTGAATAACTTATCCTAATCCCTCATTTCAAAGCTCCTCCACAAGTCTTCTGGTGATCTTCACTCCTGCTCTACTTCATCGACCCACTCCCATGACAAACCTAAGTGAACCTACGGCATCATGTGGATTATCTGAGAGCTCTTTGACTATCACCACCTGTGCCTCCAATTCTCCAAGTGACCTCACATGACCTTCCACTTCCTTTTCTCCAAGTGTGACGTCCTCTCAAGGTCTTACTTCTTCCCTTCCCTTACTTCTCTCCACCTTAATTAGACCCCTTAGGGGGCCTCACTGCAGCTGTACTCTTACCATCATCCCTATAGTCTTCCATCTTGGTTCTTTTGGTTCTGCCTACAAACCTTCAACCTTGGATTGGTGCAACCACTTGCTTTCTCTTCTTTGTCTTATCTGCTGAGAGCTGCAGGAGCAAAATCACATAACTGTATATTGGTGCTATTAGGTCCAATTTAGGTCATTGAAATCCACTGTAAGTCAGTTCCCAGTAATGGTTTGAAAACTTTGCTTCTCTTCTCAAACCTCCCGACCCATCTCTAGCCAGTCTGCTCTTGATTCTTTTTGTGACTGCTCACCTCTTGCTTAGTCTCACTTTTCCTCAACTTATTCTTTCTTTTATTTCCTTTGTTCTTCCCATTTTATCTTCTCTCACTGCCTCACCTCACCATTTCTCCCTACCACCTCTCACCATTTTTTCATCTGTGCCCATTGCACCTCATCATTTTTCCTCTGAGAAATATAAGCTAGAATCTAATTAACAGCTTATAAAGAAAATTCTGGGGGGAAAATCATATCACAGAACTGAACATCATAGAGGTCTTACATGTAAGAATTTGGTAACCTTGCTTGCAGGTTTTCCTTATAGGAATTTGGGGATTGTAATTGCCAGTTGTATACTAGGATATTTGGAAGGCTTGACATGATTTGATAAAACTTCTTATATTGGTTCCATTGATTTTTTTATTCTTTTAACCTTTTATTTTAATTACAAAAGGCAAGACTTAATTCTTTCCACTGGCATTTTTTAATTGCTGTGAACATTTATTGGAAAGGTAAGGAGGTACACTTAAGAATGTAAGGGGTGTGTGTGGGGAGAGAAATTTTCTTCATTTCTCAAAGTCAGTATTGTGTAAAACTTGGAAATCTAAATCATGTTTTTCCTTTTTTTTTTTTTTTTTTATAGGCTGTTGGTATTACTTACGGGAATCTGCAGAACCTTTCTGATAAATCTGCCATGGTCACAAAGTCCTTAGAATACCTTGGTGAAATATTAAAATATATAAAACCTTATTTGGGAAAAAAAATTTCCAGTGCAGGGCTGCAACTGACTTATAGGATGATGGGTATGTATTCCTGACATTATTAAAACTTCTTTAGGTTGAACCTATAGTATCATGATAGATAGGAATGTACTAATACACTGGCTAAATCACTGTTCTCCATACAATCATAAGAATAATTTGAAAGACAATGATTTAGCTTACAGTAATTCATGTTGGCTTTCTACTAGTGTATCCTATCTTGCCCCGCCTCCTTTCAGACCTCTTCTTGTTATGCTTGCGTTAATATTAGAATTAATTATGACCAAAACAAAATATCCTGATACCAATTTGCTGTCAGTAGTCTGTTGTGAATCACTCACATTGTGAATACCTGGATAATTAAAATGGACTTTTTTTTTTAAAGTTTATCTGTGCTTTGTTAGAATTTAAAATATCAGGAAACCATCACTCCCTTCTATTTTTCTGGTCTGCTCTGTATGAAGGAGGTCAGGAAAGAATTTATTACAGCACTAGAGATATTTATGCTTCAAATCTTGCTTCTCACAATACTATGTTTTCTCCTTTCAGAAAGAAATCTTTTTCTGTGTTTGTGCTATAACAACACAGTTCATCCTTGAGGAAGTCAGTAATTTGAATACCTTTGTTCACTAAAGCCATGTTACTAACGAAAAATAGGAACTGGATAAAGGGAAATGAGAAGTATTTCCTTAGAAGTTTTTATACAGAATTTAAGGAGGGGGGGTTTTGTTTGTTTTTTTAGTTTGTTGGGGTTTTTTTTGGGTTTTTTTGTTTGTTTGGATTTGTTTTTTTAATTTCTCTGTGGCCTAAACCTTATATCTGCTCCCTTTGATCTTGTGAACATATGAATAAACCTGATTTGGGCTGTCTGAAACCTTTTATCTTTGTTGTGAAAGATAAAGGAGAATGCAAAAATGCGTAAATATGGATGATGTAGAATGTAGTGAAAGCCATAGTAGCAATAAAAGCATCTTAATTTTAGAGAAAAACATATGTGATAATTTATTATAAATTTAACATAGTAAGATGTAGATGAATAAGTATTTCAGCATTCAGGCTTATAATTTATTAGTCTCTGTTAGATTTTTGCCAAGCTAAATGTATGATTTCAGGATATATCTTTATTTTATAAAATATATGATAGTCATAACTCCAAAATCATATTCAGATTGGTGATATGTAGACCCAGGATAAAATTCTCCTTATGAAGAATTGAGGACCTTCTTTGTTTTCTTACATGGTTGAGTTTTGACTTCCTGGAAGGTAGATCTGTATTCTTTCCTTTTGTCTAAATCTCAGAGACTGGGACTAGAATATATTGGTACAATGTTCCTCATTTATGCGTTAAAAATTAAGAACAGATAATTTACGGTCTTCTGTATGTAAAAGGCTCAGAAAAAAATGGAGGAAGAGCAAGTAAAACTTTTGAGGGTTCAAACCTTCTTTAAGTGTATGGGTTGGGGATATCATATTCACTTGAGGGAAAGAATTAACCACAGAAAAACTGTTTTATTTACCTGGCCAGTTCCTAACTGGGGATACCTCTGTTGTCTACTTACAAGAGTGCTAGTGAAAGGTGCAAACCATTCATAAAATCACACTTAAGATTAAGGCATCTGGGGTCTTAACTGTAACTCAGTAATTTCTGAAAAAGGATTGATTCATGAGTAGTATCTTCAACTTTCCTCCTCTTTATATTATTTTTTGTGGTTTTTCTATTTATATCTCTTATTTTTCCATCCCATGTTTTTCTGTTGGTCATTCTCTCTTCATTCTTCCTTTGTCTTTGTAATTGAAATGACCCTCAGTGCCCAACCCAAATATTCCATGCTCCCAGGTAGATTTGGTCTCCCTGATTATGCTTCATCTGTCCATCTCTTATGACATTTTTCATAGCTTGCCAGCTTTTATAATTATTTGTGTACTTGGCACGCCCCTACTAAATTTTAAACTCACTCATGATAGTAGCCGTATCTTTTGAACTTCCTATTCCTGTTGTCATGTTGTATTTTGAACAAATAAAAATGTTTCCTGAGTTATATATTCAGCCTGCATTGGGAACTGGGGATACATCAGTTGAAGAGCTTCACCAATGTGGAAGATGTCATATACTAAATAAATGTTTCTGGAATATAATGATTTTATAAACCTAGCTAATAGTACATAATGTATCGGGGCACCTGGGTGGCTCAGTCGTTAAGCGTCTGCCTTCAGCTCAAGTCATGATCCTGGGGTCCTAGGATCGAGCCCTGCATCAGGCTCCCTGCTCGGTGGGAAGCCTGCTTCTCCCTCTCCCACTCCCCCTGCTTGTGTTCCCTCTCTCGCTGTGTCTCTCTCAAATAAATAAACAAAATCTTAAAAAAAAAAAAAATAGTACATAATGTATCTTTTAATGTTCCTAAATGAGCAAAGTTACTTTCTAACTATAAATACATTTTTAAATGCCTATTGTAATGATCCCAATCCTCCTCTTTTTCTTTTTAATGCATAGTATATGCATAGAATAGAAGATAAGTAAACACATAAGAACTCTTATAGTACAGTTCTCTTCCAGTTGTACAAGTATGTTCCCCACAATTTTTCTATATTTTCAGCATCACCAGTTACATAATTTGTTTGTAGCCAGGAAAAAGATGTTTTTTTTTTTACAAAGCTATACTATATATTTAAACCTTTCTCAAAGTTTTTTACTTAAAAAATTCTTTCTCTTTGCATTTTTTTAAAGATTTATTTATTTATTTGAGAGAGAGCACAAGCAGGTGGAGGGACAGAGGGAGAAGCAGACTCCCTGCTGAGCAGAGAGCCCAATGTGGGGCTTGATCCCAGGACCCTGGGATTATGACCTGAGCCTCAGGCAGACACCCAACAAACTGAGCCACCTAGGCGCCCCTGTCTTTGCGTTTTTAATACCACACATTTAAATGTTCTTCACTGAAACTTAAAAAAACTAGGGTTCTGGAAGCACCTGGGTGGCTCAATCAGTTGAGAATCTGACTCTTAATTTCAGTTCAGGTCATGATCTCAGGGTCTTGGGATCAAGCCCCACATCAGGCTCCACACTCAGCAAGGAGTCTGCTTGAGATTCTCTCTCTCCGTCTGCCCCCTCACCCTGTGCTTGCACACATGCTCACGCTATCTCCGTCTTTCTCTCTCTCTCCCCCTTCCCCCTCTCTCAAATAAATCTTAAAAAAAAAAAAAATTAGGGTTCTGATGTGGCAGTGAAACAAATGGATTGCCTCTGCCTTCTATGAACTCCTAAAACTTTAAGATCTTCAGCAAAGTGTTTTAACCATTGCAAAAGATGAAATACAAGGGTAGATGATAGCATTTTTGGTTGGAAGGCCCTTGCTCTTTATAAGTCCATTCCTGTGTGACACCTAAGAGTGATATGAATCATTTCAAATGTCAGTGGTGATGGCAATTCCCTTTACAGGTACATTAATGTTAGTTAGGATGTGAGTTCTTCTTACATTGCTGTCATTCACCAGTTTTCCACCTACTGGAAAAATGAGGAGCGAGCCAGCGTTATTTAAAATACTGCCAAGTGAGCATTGTGTTTCTTTATGATTGATTATTGTATTTCCTTTTACAACGGAAGATTAATGTTGCTGTTTGTTGTTCTTAGAAGTGATTATTGGTTGGGCTTTTTTCTTGTAACATCAATATACTCTTCTATAAGCATATTTTTGTTTTCCTTCAGAGCTTGAATTTTAAACTTTTTTTCCTATGGAAATGGCTTTGAATTTTATCATATCTTCTGCATTCTAAGATGGAATAAAATACAAAAGTTCATGCAGTACATGTACCACTATGCAATTTGGGCAAGTGCTTAATGATCTCCTTTTAAATTTGTTGTTTCAATAAAAAAAGACCTCAGTAGCAGAAATAGACTCTAATGGGAAGGAGATATCTCCTCTTAATTACTTTACTAAACAAAGGGTGTTCATTTTTAGCTCCACTCTCATCAAATGTAGCAACTGACTCCCAGCATGAAGGAAAACATAATATATTTTATGTAGTGAAGATGTCTGCTTCTCTTCTTTCAGGATCAAAATTGAAACTCACTGGGTATATTAAACAAATGAAAGTTGCAAAAAGTGAAATGCAGAGCGGTTAAGTGATTGCTTCAAGGTTACAGTTAATCCTTTTTTCCTAC